TGCCCACACTCACACACCCGCCCACGCTCACACAGATGCCCGCACTTACACACACCTGCCCGTGCTCACACCCCGCCCACACACACCTGCCTGTGCTCACACCCTGCCCACACACACACAGGCCCGTGCTCACACCTGTCCCCCACACATGCCCATGCTCACACCTGCCCCCACACACACATGCCCATGCTCACACCCCACCCACACACACGACTGTGCTCACACCCCTGCCCACAAACACACATGCCTGTGCTCACACCTGCCTGTGCTCACACCTCTGCCCATACATGCCCATGCTCACACCCCTGCCCCCCCACATGCCCATGCTCACACCTGCCCCCACACACATGCCTGTGCTCACACTCCTGCCCACACACACACATGCCTGTGCTCATACCTGCCCATGCTCATACCCCTGCCCCCCCCCACACACGCCTATGCTCACACCTGCTCACACACACACATGCCCATGCTCACACATCTGCCCACACACACATGCCTGTGCTCACACCTGCTCATGCTCACACACCTGCCCCCACACCCCTGCACATGCTCACCCACCTGTGCACTCACACCTGCCCACTCATATACCCACACACCTGCCCACACACCTGCCTGTGCTCACACATCTGCCCACTTGCCGATACACACCTGCCCATGCTCACACATGCCTGCACTCACACACACCTGGCCAAACACATACCTGCCCACACACCCACCCACAGCTGTCCACATTCACACACACCTGCCCGTGCTCTCACATACCTGCTCAGACACACACACCTCATACACAGATGCCCACACTCACACCCACAGATGCCCACACTCATACACACCTGCCCACACTCACACATACCTCATGCTCACATGCCTGTGTTCACACCCACACAGATGCCCACACCCTACACACCTGCCCAAGCTCACACACAGCTGCCCACACTCACACACATGCTCACACGCGTTCACACTCACAATCAAATTTCTGTGATTGTCCCATAAATGATGTTTATTTTTTGAGAAGGAGTCTGGCTCTGTTGCCCAGGCTGGAGTGCAGTGGCACAATCTCAGCTTACTGCAATCTCTGTCTCCTGGGTTCAAGTGATTCTCCTGCCTTAGCCTCCCAAGTAGCTGGGATTACAGGTGCCGGCCACCATGCCTTTTTTTTTTTTTTTTTTTTTTGTATTTTTAGTAGAGACAGGGTTTCACTATGTTGGCCAGGCTGGTCGAGAACACCTGACCTCGTGATCCGCCTGCCCCTGCCTTCTAAAGTGCTGGGATTATAGGCGTGAGCCACCACGCCCGGCTTCCATAAATGATTTTAAAAACTTAATGTTTTCTCTGCATTTTCTTTTTAACACTTCATTTTAAATAATTTCAAACTAACACAACAGTTGTGAAATTAGGACGAATTCCCACATACTGTTTGCCTGGAATCCCCAAACGTCAGCATCATCACTCAGCACAGTGCTCAAGATCAGGGCATGAACACTGACACGACACTGTCATCTGCCCCACAGGCCTTCTTTAGGGGGTCCCACAAACACCCCTTTCTGCCCGAGGATCCAACCTCTAGTGGCCACTGCTTTTGTGGAATGTCCCTGAGTCTGGGTGGGCTGTGTTTGGTAAGTGATGGTGCAGGTGGTAACACTGGGAGTGGAAGCGGCTGGCTTCATGTCACTGCGCCAGGACGGCAGGTGTGGGCCCAGCCAGGACACCCCGGTTTGTGTTCCTCTACTCGGGGCTCTCATGTGTAGGTTCCCTTCCTCTTGTTTTCCTCCCGAAACCACACGGGATATGTCACATTTCCTACATTCTGTCTTTTGCTGGTCACATCCTCATAGTGCCATTTCTCCCTATTTCTGGTAGCCTGGCTCCATCAAGTTCAAGCTCAGGTTTGACCCAGCTCCCTCAAGCCTCTGCCTTTCGTAGACCGAGGATGCACACAGTTACCACCATCAGCCTTCTCCCTGGGAAGTCGGTGCACCCTGCTCTCCTCTGCCTCTATTTGTTCTCTCCCAGGTGCCCACCCCTGGATCATCTTTTTAATCACCATCTATCAGCGGACAACTTAAAACTCTGGAGCTCCTCCTGGGGCTCCAGACCATCTTCCACTCCACAGTCTGAGGGTTTTTTCTAAAATTCCATCTGAGGGGGACTCTTTCTCCTTGTACTTCCTAGTGGTGACAGTCCTTTGACCCTGTGCTTTGACCTCAGACTGAAATGCCCTTCTCCCTTCTTCACCTGGATAAATTCCCCAGGAGCTACCCGGTGGCCACGGGCAGAATGAGCGCATTCTGTGTTCACCAGCGCCTTTATCCCCAGAGAGTGAGTGCTCAGGTACACGTGTTTCGCCTGTAGCCCCATTGCCTGAAACCACACTCAGATATTTGTGGGATAAATGTTGAAAGCGATTGGAGATATTACAAATCCTGGGTATTTAGGATTTCCTTTTCCTTCTAACATTAAGTCAGGGTCTTATACTGACCTCAGGGTATAGGAACAGGAAGCTGGTACAGCCCAGGATCAGCTTCACCTGCTTCCCAGCTGCAGAGCTCCTCCTCTAGAGGGCGTTGTGACGGGCACATCAGGGCACCAGGAGCAATCACAGCTCAGTCCCTGCCCTTCCCAAGTAGGGCAGAGTAGGATCATGTGTCTTCACAGGTTATGAGCACATGGGGAAGGAAGAAGCTCAACTTGAGGGCATCTGAAAACTCTTAAGATAATAAATTGGACCTTAAAATATGGCAAAACTTCATGGAGTTGACAGTGGCTTGGGGAAGGGGGCATCCTGGCCATGGGACCTACCAGGGGCCTTCCACTTGGAGGTGCCTGGAGCATGGGATGCCAGAGGGAGAGGATGGCTTCATCCATCCTGGTGTGGATAAAGCTATTGTGCCTCAGAGGCCCCCAGCTGCAGAACTGAGGAAATAGCAGCCACAAGGAGCTGAAAAAGATTTTTTTTCCAGCCTGGGGAACACAGTGAGGCACTCTCTATACAAAAAAATAGAAAAAAAAAAATTAGCTGGACATGGTGGCGCACACCTGTAGTCGCAGCTGCTCGGGAGGCTGAGGTGGGAGGATCACTTGAACCAGGGAGGTCAAGGCCACAGTGAGCCATGATGGTGGCACTGCACTCCAGCCTGGGTGACAGGCCTCACTCTGTCACCCAGGCTGGAGTGCAGCGGCACGAGAACTGTAAAAAATAAAAAAATTCTACAACTATTTATTTGTGTGTATGTTGGAGGGAAGCATGAATAAATGAAGTCAGATTTTGCTTTTTTGTGTTTTTGCTTCAGAGACAACTTGTGCATTTTGCAGGCGGTCCCCACCACCCTCTCCATTGCCTTCACCCTGGACTCCCACCTCGGGGGCTCCACTGCCAGCAGGGCCACCTGGCCAAGCTCCTGATCTCTGCACTGCCCCATCCTCTGGCCACCTCGCCTGGAAGGCTTGGAGTCATTGCTGACTTTCCCTCCGACTTCATCCCCCACATTCAAACAGCGGTCTGGTGCTTGGAAACGCCCCTCTGGGGTTCAGGGAGCACAAAGGGGTGACTGGGTGTGGCCCTGTGTCACCAGTTTCCTCTGAGGGCAGCCTGGTGGGCTGCCTGGACCCAGGACGGCCTCAGGCTCTTCCCACACGAGGCTCCCCCACAGGCCTCCTCCTTAGGACCTAGCACGTAGGTGCCACTGGATCCATTTCCAGTGGCAAGAACACACTGTTTCTGGCCTCGTCACCTCCCAGGCATGCTCTAGCCCCTCAGACACAAATGGAGGAGAATCCTGTGCCTTCCTGAGCGCCCCAGCTTCACAGGCCGCCGAGAGCTGGCACTCGGCACCGAATCTCCGCGATGGAGAGAGCTCTCATCCTTCACTCCTGTGAGATCCCTGCAGGCCTCTGGCTCCCAGCCCAGTCAGCTCTGTCTGCCTCCAGCCCCTCTTTCTCTAGACCTGCCCCAAGCCTGTCCTTGAAACCCATACCTGTCCCCAGCCTAGGACCCAGGTGGATGCGTCCGTTGGGGGCTGCACAGCCTTGCAGTGGGGAGGCGGCGGCTCTGGGGCTCTGGGCAGACAGGGCACCTCATTCTGTTCTGGTGGCACCCATGCAGGTGGCATAGATTTTTCTGAGCCCATTAGCCCAGACTCTGGAAGCAGTTTTCCGGTCCAGGTCAGGGTCGGCAAGAAGCGCAAGGAAGCGCGCAGCGGATCTGCTGTCTGCTGGGCCTCGAACGCACGTGCCCGCAGGCTGAGGGAGGACACGACCGTCCCCGCAGCCTTCCCCGGTGCCTCTAACCAGGGATCTCAGCGCGCGGCGCCGGGCTGCCCGCAGGCGTGACCTCAGCCGTCCTCTCTCCCTGCAGAATCTCCTACGACCCGGCGAGGTACCCCAGGTACCTGCCCGAAGCTTACTGCCTGTGCCGGGGCTGCCTGACCGGGCTGTTCGGCGAGGAGGACGTGCGCTTCCGCAGCGCCCCGGTCTACATGCCCACCGTCGTCCTGCGCCGCACCTCCGCCTGCGCCGGCGGCCGCTCGGTCTACACCGAGGCCTACGTCACCATCCCCGTGGGCTGCACCTGCGTCCCCGAGCCGGAGAAGGACGCAGACAGCATCAACTCCAGCATCGACAAACAGGGCGCCAAGCTCCTGCTGGGCCCCAATGACGCGCCCGCTGGCCCCTGAGCCCCGGTCCTGCCCCAGGAGGTTTCCCAAGGCGCCTACGCTGGAGCCGCCCGGAGGGCTCGACCTCTGCAGAGAGCGCACGGAGCAAACCTGAGCACCGGCGCCGCCTTTCCGTGGAGACTCAACAGCTTCATCTGACATGGGCATCCCTGGCTTGCTTTTAGCTACTAATGGGCAGGGTGGCTGGAAGCTGATGGGAAACGATCCGGCACGGGCATCCTGTGTGTGCCCCGCATGGAGGGCTTGCGAAAGTTCACGGAGGCTTCTGGAGGAACCTCCCAGGCCGGCTGCTGCGGGTGCAGGGCGTGATCCCCCGCTGCGTGCTTGCCAAAGAGATAGGGACGCATATGCTTTATTTTTATTTTTTATTTTTGTTTTTTGGGACGCATATGCTTTTTAAAGGAATTTAAAAATAATTTTAAGTAGAGCGACTATATACCTACTTTTTAAATCAACTGTTTTGAATAGAGGCAGAGCTATTTTATATTAGCAAATTAGAGTTACTCTATTACATTTCTTACTTGACATACAAACATTGTTTTTTGCTTCCTCTGGAAGCTTTTTAAGCATAATTGGAATCCTTGGATAAACTTTTTACTGGCACACTGTGGCCTGGGTCTCTGGATTCAGCCTGTCACTGACGGCTGACAGCAGTGATGAAATGGACACGTCTGATTTGACCCACTCGTCCTTCCCCTGAAGGTCTTCACTGGCCTCCAGGTCGACCAAAGGGATACACAGGCATGCCCCAGGGCCTGCTAAGGGTTCCAAAGGTCTCAAACTTGGTTTTAGTCATGAGTACATAAACTGAGTCTCAAACTTGTACAATTTTTTTCCCCTTTTGATAGCCACTGGGGCCAATCTGTGGTTAAGAGGTGGTGAGATAAGAAGTGGAACATGACATCTTTGCCAGTTGTCAGGAAGAATCCAAGCAGGTACTGGCTTAGTTGTAAGGGCTTTGGGAGCAGGCCAAATATGAGGAGAAAGTGGGCCACGTTAGAATCTGCAGAGATCAATCTGGAGGCTTCTGTTTCTACATTCCGCCATGAGAGCTAGGTCTTTGCTCTTTCATTTAGATTGAAAAATCTGTCTCTGAACACAATTATTTGTGAAAGTTAGAAGTTCTTTTAAAATGATTAAAACAGTCTTGCTGAAAGATACACTGGCTATGTGTATTTCTCTCAAATCTCCTTGATGGTCCACACTGATTGTTAAAGGAAATCATGTGTGACCTAAGGGCTTCACTTTATCTGGAGGTTTCAATTCATCAAGCTTTGATTTGGTCTTAGAAAGATCAACTAGTCAGGTAAGGTCAATGTCATGGATCTTCTGTGACACCCTCAAGACCAGGAGATGTCTTTTATTCACATGCATTTTGCTCCCAAGCTTCAGCTACTGCGGAAAGACCAACTGGCAGCCTTAGTTTGATCCAGATGAATGGACTTTCAGCTCCCACTAAAACTGACAGAAAGGGTGCATGCAAAACACATCACCGAGCAAAATCCACATTGTCTGAATAAAAAATTCAAAATGGAAAGCAGTAGCTATGGATAGCTCCACAGTCTCTGGGAAATTTTACTTCCCCATTCAAACTCAGGGGGGAAAAAGAGGGGAATCCTCTGGCGGTGGTATGTCTAGAACACATTCCTGTCCAGGAACCAGAAGGTCCAGGGCAACAGCACAAATCCATACATTACAAAGAACTGCCTTTTTAAAGCAGCAACTTGGGTGCTGTTTCCGTCATCGCTGCTGTTGTCTAAACTTTTCCAGGTCACTCCTCAAATATAAACAGTGCAAGCATTGGAGGAAGGGCACACAAGAAGAGGAAATTATCTGCATGGGGAAAATGTCATGATTTTATTCACTGCATTAATGATTAGTTTAACTAACCTCAGCTTCCTAAAAGGTGGCACATTCCCAACACAAGAAATGAGCTTTCTGTCCTAAGATCCAGAAAGACAGTCTCTGCTTTTTCTCTGTACTGTGCATTCACCCACTTAGTGATGATCCACTGGGCACCTGCCTGGATCCACTCACCCAGTTCCTGCAAGACCACAGCGAGCAAGACGATCTCCCTCCTCCACTAAAACGATGAAAAGGCAAAGCTGCTCCAGCACCTCGCACCTGGGTGCTGATCTATGAACCCACTCCCTTCACCTCACTAAGCTTCATTTTCCTTCTGTGTGAAATGAGGTCACAGCACCCCCCTCTTTGAGTCCCTGTGAGGATTCAGCACTGTTGACAAAGCACCTGGCACGGTGCCTGGCACACAGTGGGCATCAACGCATCACCCCAGTCATTTGTAAGCCACACTGAAAACAAACATCAAGCTAAGCCTTTGCATGTCATGTTGCTTTAGGAGGCATCTGTCACTTACAAGTGACTTTTTTTGTATAGAAGATAAGTTTAAAATGAAATCTCCGGGCTGGGTGCAGTGGCTTATTCCTGTAATCCCAGCACTTTGGCAGGCGGATCACCTGAGGTCAGGAGTTCAAGACCAGCCTGACCAACACAGTGAAACCCCATCTCTACTACAGATACAAAAAAATTAGCTGGGCATGGTGGTGCGTGACTATAATCCCAACTACTTGGGAGGCTGAGGCAGGAGAATCACTTGAACCCGGGAGGTGGAGGTGCAGTGAGCCAAGATCGCGCCACTGCACTCCAGCCTGGAAAACAAGA